GTTCAGCCGGAGCCTGTTGTTCCCCATCCAGACCCTCACAGCCTCCAGGCACCGCGAGAGGACGGTCATGTGTGAATAGATACGCTTTTAGTTAAAGCAAACTCATGTAGCGGGACCCAGAGTTTTTAAACACAGTATATTGCTGCTTAATGCTCTCTATCAGTGTTCTTTAAACATCTAAGAGCATAGGTCTTTGATGTTCCCCATCCACAGCCAAACAATAACAAAATCAAGGCATTATCTTACAATAGATGGTCAACATGAAAAAAATTACTCAAATACACAGACATGGATAATATCTGTTTTTTTTTTTAATTTTGATCAACAAGATCAAATTTTGATCAACTCCTCCACATGTTGGATTACATTTCCCATCAAGCTTATCCAATTATTATTCTGTAGATCATTTGGATTGTAGTCCAACACATCTGGTAGACACCAGGCTGGGAAAAACTGTTCTATAGTTTAAGATTTCTTTTAAAATATTTTAATGGAAATAACTGGAACGTGTATATACATATACCCCACCAGAAGAATAATTCCATAACAGAGCATGATACATGATTTTTAATCCTTGTTCTAAAAGTCAGCAGACAATGCCTCAAGAATATTCTTGGCAAGACATAAAGAGAACCATAGCCTAACATTACTCTGTTAATATATTTGAACTTCATTGAGAAATTAAAAAACACTGAAGCTCAGACTTTGAGGAAGTGACCTAATTTGGAAACTATCAAAGTGATCAAGAACTGTCCTCAACTTCAGAAAATGTAGACTTGAAATAAAAGTCACTAGGGAAGAAATAAAATGGCAGCCTTGTTATACACAAGCAAAACAGAAGCTGCTGAATAAAGTACAAACCTTCTAAATTGGCCCTGTTCCCATGGCAGAACCCATTAGACACTAAAGGGTGCATCAACAGCCTGTTTTAGCTGTTCCTAAAATGTACCTGCTTAGAAGTGAATGAACAAAAGGGAAACCATTTTTTGTTTCCATCTGACAGAAAACCACATGGCATCTCCCCACTGCTACCATCTAAAGAAAATTTCTATACAGTTGCAAGAAAAAGTACGTGAACCTTTTGGAATTTCATGGTGTTCTGCATTAAATTGTCATAAAATGTGATCTGACCGTCATCTAAGTCAAGAGTATTGACAAATATAATGTGCCTAAAATAA